ATCATTGCTAACATATCATTTATTATTTTCATTACAGTCAGTATGTCTGCCATGTTATCATCATTTTTATTTTATTATCGACATCACGCTATTGGCTTGGACTCGGTCCATGACCCACTTGGCCCATTTCATTTCATTTATTTATATATACAAGCTCATTCACACAACTTAAGGTATGATTTCTAAAACCCAAACCAAACCCCTCTCCTGTCTCTTGCATTCTTTATTTTTATTTTCGTCCGACTGTTGACTTGACCGTCGTAGTGCAAATGGTCCCCGGACATTTTTTCTCGATTGACGGCCTTTGCATCTTGATGGGATGTTCCGTGTGTAGGTGTGGAGGGAGTGAGGTCGGGATTCTGTTGGCAACATCTTTTGGGGTCAACGCTACGTGTAAAAAAAAAATTCAATTAAAGGTCGAGTAATTGCATGATAATGAATTTAAACTTTCAAATTTAGCATGTGTTGAATTCAACTAAAAAAATTAATTAATATTAAGTAAAAGTTGACATCCACAATTTTTTAATCAAATATGTATTCAATTGGAACTTTTGAAAACTTTAATAGACATTTTTAAGAGGGTATTTGATACCTATTTTTATGGAAAAATGAATTTTAGAATAGTAGATTGATGAATAATATATGGATGAACAATAAGAATTTTTTTTTATTTACGTGTAATATTATTTTAATAAAAAATGCGTGGTTAAAAAGAATGGAGAAAAAAAATGTATTTGGATAAAAATGAGAATCAAATGGGGCCGAAGTGATAACTTCTGTGAATTTCATGGATTTTTGATAAACTTATATGGAATTAGTGAAAAAATTTCGTAGACTTTTATTCTAAAACTTTTATAGGATTCAAAAGACTTTTGAAAATTTTTATTTAAAATAGAATTCATATAAATCTAATATAGTAGTGTGAAATTCTAACATATAAATTATTTGCTTCCACAATTTCCCTTCTCTCCCCATATAATAAAAATAAATAAATAAATAAAATTAAAGAATAAAAATTTAAAACCTTATTTAAATAAATAATAATTAATAAAAAATAAATTTAATATTCAGTATTATTAATATAATATATTTTTAAAGAAAAGAGAAAATATATATATATTTAAATTTAATTATAAATTAGTCTATATAAAATTTTATAATTTAATTAAAAATAGATATTTTTTCACAAAAAAAAAAAAATAAATGACAAAAGGAAAAAAAAAGTTATAAGAGTCTAATTTAACTTTTTCTTATAAAATAGAGATAACCAATAAGAGAGAAAAATAAAAATAGAAACAAATATAATCAATAGAAAAAATAAATTTATTCATAACACTAATTTGTAATATATTAAAAGTGTGGATTAATGAGAAACTTTTAAATACCAATTTTACCCTTATATATTTTAATATATGTCAATTCTACCCTTAATACACACACACACACACACACGTGAATTTCACTTAAAATGAATGTTAATTTACTTATATAATTATATTATAATTACAATATATAAAAATAAAATGGGGAGATACATGAGAAACTTCAATTTATCATTTTGTCCTTATATAACATTGTCAACATTTTCATTCAAAGATTATAAATAGCATGTTTAATAAATATAATAGATGATATAATTATTTAAATATAAAGGACAATAAATTAAAAAGAAAAAATTGCATAAATGTGATCAACAATTGCTAGGGAAAGAATCAAGATGGAGAAATTATCCATCAATCTTAAAAACTTTACTAACTACTCCTTATAATTAGGAGTTACTCACCATTTCCATATTTGTATCAACCCTACTAAATACAAGTTTCGCATCTCAATTACACATTTTTCACTAAAACCAAACTTTTAAGTATTAATAATAATTAATTTATGCGCTCTAAAAAATAATTAATATTGTATTGGTATTTTATAATTATTCTATGTTAATTTTTGTACGAACATAAAAATTGATAGTAATCAAGTTACTTATTAGATATAAATATATAAAGAAAATATTTTTTTTTAATCTCGATACATTTAAGGGGAGAATTTTTATTCCTCCATTTGTATTAATCCAATTCTAAACAAAAAGAAAATTTTTGTTCTAAGATTTTTCACTTTTATATCTGTTTTGAATGTAACTTCGATTTTTAATTTAAAATAAATGATATGGATTAATATGATGACAAGCATGATTATTATGTAATTTTCTTTTAAAAAACTATGATTAGTATTGCTATTTTATTATTATTCCATTTTCATTTTTATATAAACATAAAAATTGATGGTAATCAAGCTACTTATTAGATATAAATATTTAACGATATTTTTTTTTTATCTCGATGCATTTAAAGGGAGAATTTTTATTCCTCCATTTGTATTAATCCAATTCAAAATAAAAAGAAAATTTTTGTTCTAATTTTTTTCACTTTTGTATCTATTTTAAATGTAACTTCAGTTTTTAATTTAAAATAATGGCTAATTAGCACAAAACGTCCATACCTTTGGAGGTTTTTGTGGATAACGTCCATACCTTTCATTTTTTTGGCAGAGAACGTCCCTACCTTTACCATTTTTTGCGCAGAACGTCCTTCTGTCAATTCCCCATTAAAATGTTCTGTTAAATCAAATAAAATGGATCTTTTCTTTTTAAAATGCAGGGGTGAGATCGTCCATCCAACATTTTCTTCACTGTGTAATCTCTCCCGCCTCTTTATTCTTCAAATGTTCAAGAAAAAGTAAAGTAACAGAAAAAAACTTGTACAATATTATTTCATTCAATAAATTAGGGAAAATGACGTGAGAATGACTGCATTTCTGGTAAAAAATATTCATGACTGTTATAATACTGATTGTTCAAAATATTTTGGAATGCTATATGAAGAGAATGAATATGTGGTTAATAAAAATGAGATGTCCATCCTCATTTTGTGCTTACTAAGGGTGTAAATAAGAGGTAAAGTGAGAAGACCAATCAAAGTATGATTCTGTAAATGGGCAATACATGTGATGGAGTGGAGAAGATGATGAAATATGAACGTATTTTCTCCCCCATTTTAGCATAAAATTGAATTGGTGATAACAATCTCTACCTTTATATTGTCTTTGCGAAAAACATCTTACAATGTCTCTGCACAAAACATCCCTACCTTTACAATGTATTTGCGAAAAACATCACTACCTTTGTTAAAAATTGTGCAAACCGTCCCTATGTATTTTAAGCCAAACAACCTGTCTAAACTGTAGCCAAATACAATTCTGTTTATCCCTGCAATTGAATGTCCATAACACCTAGTTCGAACACAGCAAAACCAATACTCAACATCCAAGTTCAATAACAAAATGCAGTAAAATTAGCACTCAACAACCAAGCTCAATAACCAAACTAAGTAAAATGAGTACTTGACAATAATTATAGAGTGCTCATTTACAGAATAATACTTTGATTGGTCTTCTCACTTTACCTCTTATTTACACCCTTCGTAAGCACAAAATGAGGATGGACATCTCATTTTTATTAACCACATATTCATTCTCTTCATATAGTATTCCAAAATGTTTTGAACAATCAGTATTATAGCAGTCATGAATATTTTCTACCAGAAATGTAGTCATTCTCACGTCATTTTCCCTAATTTATTGAATGAAATAATATTGTACAAGTTTTTTTCATGTTACTTTACTTTTTTTTTAACATTTGAAGAAGAAAGAGGCGGGAGAGATTATACAGTGAAGAAAATGTTGGATGGACGATCTTACCCCTGCATTTTAAAAAGAAAAGATCCATTTTATTTGATTTAACGAAACATTTTAATAGGAAAGTGACAGAATGACGTTCTGCGCAAAAAAGGTAAAGGTAGGGACGTTCTCCGCCAAAAAACGAAAGGTAGGGACGTTATCCACAAAAACCTTCAAAGGTAGGGACGTTTTGTGCTAATTAGCCTAAAATAAATGATATGGATTAATATGATGAGCAAGATTAGTACGTATTTTTTTTTTAAAATATGTTTAGATAAGATTTTTTTTTTGTTTTTACTTTTTAAGGTAAAAAAGTTTTTATGTTACAGACAAAATGAGTAGTTTTTATTTTGAAAATAATTTATGTACCTTTAGTTTACTTATAAGTAAATATTTTAAAGTTAATCGAATGTACATCCCTTAATTCAATTTGTTTCATGTCAATTTGTGTCATAAAGTTGGTCGATGCTACTGTAATGGTTGAAAATAGGGTCGAACAAATGTCTAGCATAAACAGATATGTAAATAAAACATAACATTTCAATTTATTCAACATTTTCACATTATATTGTAATTTCATAAAACTTTTATTCATGTATATATATTCTCTAACAATTTTAGTTTTCTTTAACATTATCAACTACATTACCTTAAAAATATTATTCATATAATTCATTCTGTATAAAAGACGTGCAACGCACATGTTTACTACTAGTGTTCACAGAAAGAAAAAGGAAAGAGAAATATTGGAAAAAAGAATATTGATTTCTTTCTTCTTTTTTTTTTTTGTGAAAATCTCCCAAAGTCTTGTGATTAATGAAAGACAAATTTTGATATTTTTATTTTGGTACTTTTCGTTTAAAAGTTAGTACTTGGAGACTTTAATAAAAGTCTTTAAAAGTCATTAAAATTGGAATACCACAAGATTTATATAGACTTTTCAAAAAAAAAATAATTTGAATACATCGTGACTTGAGCTTTTAAAATCTCAATTAAATACATCAATACTATCAGAGTCTCAAAAAATTTACGTTTAATATTTCTAAACTTTTTAATAGCATATTTGGGAGGAATTTTTTACCCAAAAAAAATTAATTTTTTGATCGTTATTTCACTATTTCAACCGTAATTTTTTACTTCCTCTCACAAGTAGACTCCACTATTTTTCTAACGATCAAAAAATCAATTATTAAAATCCCTTCTAAACGGGTCTAAATACAAAAAGTCATTAAAAGTCCCCATAAATATTTTCTTATCTTAAAAATTTTGCACGAAGAAATAGAAAAATATCCTAAACTTTGTAGAGATGATTGAAAAGAAGAAGAAAACGAATTCCCCTTCCTTTCTTGCTAATGAAATTCTTCTTCGAATCACTGTTTTTGCGCCTCCTTCATTTCCGGAAAATACCCAACAAACGGAGGCAGGATTATTTATGGCAGCTGTTCAAACACGTCATCTCTCCTTCATCATAGACTTATCTCATTTCCCAATTTAGTTCAATTAGCTGAATTAATTTGTGAATAGTAACAATGAGTTTGGGCAATAAAGTGTCATCAGTTGTGTTGATTCCGATGCAAATCGGTTGCAACTCTATACGACGCAGTTTTTGTATGTTAAAGCCTTCGCCGTTGACTTTGACAACGCTTAAACGCAGCGCTTTTGTGCCAAAAGCCCGAGCTTCCTCGACCGCCGTCGTCGAAACAAAGCCCGTAATTCTTTCTCTCGGCTTTTTTTCTTCCTTTTTTCTTTTTTCCTTATCTATACGTAATGCTGTAATGTGTATGTTTATATTTATTTAAATCATCTCAGTCTCAGCTTAGGGTTGAAACTGATGAAAATCAATTCAAATCTGAATAGAATCATGTCAAATTGATAGTCTTAGTTCAATAATTAGGATTCAATGACAAACTGTTCCGTGTATGAATTGTAAACAGAAACAAGCTTGGAACAGACTGCCTGTATATGCAACTATTGATAATAAAACGTTCCTTTTAAACTGTTCATTGAAGTATTTTGCCTTCATAAACTGTATGTTAGTCTTCACACTTGTCCAAGTTGAAAATAAAATCTGCATAAATTGGCCATCCGAGTAAAAATTGAAAATATTTGTTTCGTATTTCAACTGTTGCATTTTTTTTAAGCTTTCTATTCTTCACACTGTCGCAATAGTGTATTCTAAAGTACAAATTGCTAGAGAAATACTAGCCATTATCCTTTAAAAGGGAAGAATTTTTTATTGTCTTAAAGCAAATAAAGAATTTGGAGATGTAATGGCATTAGTAATACATGTAAGTTTGTTACGAAACTTGTGTCTAATCATGTAATTGTGCGAGAGAGAGAAAGGGTGGGAGGATAAATTTGTCTTGTTTTTCACTACATCATAGAGTCAATGTATATACTCATGCACACAGTTGATGGAAGGATACTAATTGATTGATGTTCTTTTGTTTACTGTAAAAGGTTAATGACTTTCTCTGTTACATTTGCTTGATGGAATGATTTACCAAATGCCCATTTACTTCAATTGTAAGATGCAACTGTATGTATCTCAAAATAATAATGTTCATAGTGGATTTATGCTGTCGAAATTAGGACCCTGTTATGGACGAGACAAAGCTCAACATCCGCAAGAATATTTTAGCTTGTCCTATTTGCTACGAACCAGTAATTTGGAATGGTAATTCCAGCTTGTCTTTGTAAGTCATTACTATCTTCACCTCAGAATATTTTTGTCTCCCGCCATCTCTATATGTATTAATAATAGCTATTTGCCTCCATTTATTCCTGTTTATATTCTTACTGGAAAGTTGGATTCCATTCGTCGATTTTCATTTGATAATTTCACAGGGAATCTTCAGCTCAGTCTAGTTTGCAATGCAGTAGCTGCAGAAAGACATACTCTGGTAACGAGACACATCTTGACCTGACGATAACCGGTGGTGGAACAGTGTATGGTGAACCTAAGGCAGCATCTACTGAGCTTTTCAGGTGATTGTGTTTGCATTTATAACATTGACTAGTCATTAAAATTTCGTTTACTAAGGTTTCTATCTTTCTCATTCCTCAAAAAGTCCTGAAGAAACCTCCTTATCCTATATATTTCCAGGTTCAGCAGATAGATATTCTTCTGTTTACTTTGACGGTTTCCACTGACTTGATTTGATTAATATCTGCTGAAATTATGATAATCTTCTAATTGCTTTCTTCTTTCTTCAACTCCTGCATTTCAAATTTGTAGGTGTAAATATTGTAGAACTCAAGGACAATGCATGGCTCTGATAGTGCTAGGCATTCAAAGCTTCATCCATTCTAGCTCATAAAATATTGTTATCCACCATTCAGGGCAATGTAAACTAAAGAAATACTCCAGAACAATGGTTGAGAGGAAGTAGTTGACACCTGCTTCTGAAGGATTACATCACCATTGATATTCATAAATCGGAATTAATTTGAACTTCAATAATCATAATGCTCTTTTCTCTCTAGAATTTTTAAGAGACACTGGTCAACAGTACCGAAAATAAAGGTTGACGCCATGCATTCTGTGTTCATCATAAAAGACTTTTCTGAACAGTTTCCATTAATGATATATTTGTTTTTGCATCACTATAAAGTGAATCTGTAATATTTAATTTCTTTTCCCAATTGTGAGATTATCAGTACTTCACCTGGGTTTGAAAAAGTTATTTACAGAAACCAAAGTTTTAGAGGTAGCTCTATTTTTTGATAGCTTCAAGGCCTAAATATTAGCATGATTATTGTCAGTGACAAATGCACGCTAAACCACTGACCACAGTTATGTTAATTTGTCAATAGTGTGAAAATTTTCAAACTACAGAATGAATTTGTTTAGTACCTACTTATTATGAATGCTGGTTGTTTGTCGGAACCAGGTTTCCTTTGGTATCATTTCTCTATGAGAGGGGGTGGCGACAAAGTTTTTCTGTGTGGGGTGGTTTTCCAGGCCCAGAGAAAGAGGTAATCAACAATTTCCTACTACCATAATTATTTTTGATAAAAAAATGCTTCCCTTTAACGTATATGTCTGATGCAGTTGCTGATACTTTGCAGTGTACAAGAATGATACCATGGCGGTTACTTGGTTTAAAAATAATAATAATGATAATAAACAACTGATATGAATCAACACAGAGTAGTGTTTTTATATCTCAAAACAAGCAATAAACTAATCATATTTCTATCGTATATGTTGATATTTTTAATAGAATAGAATCCGATATATACTGAGGCAATAGTGGAACTAATTACTTGCTTAGTTTTCAAATCCAAAAATTGTTATGTCTATCCTGTTTATACTAAAAAAATTCGATTTGTTAAGTTGGCTAAATTTCTTGCCCATGCACAATATATTACATTGGTACCTTTCTGTAATCTAGCCACTAGTTAATTGCATTGTGTCATTGATTGCAGTTTGAATTGATCAAAGATTACCTCAAGCCAGTCTTAGGTGGAAATATTATTGATGCCAGTTGTGGAAGTGGATTATTTTCAAGACTTTTTGCCAAGAGTGGATTATTTTCCCTTGTTGTTGCTTTGGACTTTTCAGAGACTATGTTGCAGCAATGTTATGAATTCATAAAGCAAGACGATAACTTTCCAGAAGAGTATGTCTCATTACCTTAATCTTTAGGTGATTTTTTCTAGCTTACTCTGGACATTTCTTATTTATGTAACCTATTTTTTTCCAGGAACATACTACTGGTTAGGGCTGATATTTCCAGGCTTCCTTTTGCTTCAAGTACGGTGGATGCTGTGCATGCTGGTGCGGCTTTACACTGTTGGCCTTCACCATCGGCAGCTGTAAGCAGACCTGAACATCTATTTGCTCAGGCTACTCCTGTTATTATTCTGTTTTGTGATTTCACTGGCATGCGGTAATTCTTTAGTGATAAAATATTGAGGTTCAAATGTTTTATTGAAAATGAAATATAATCAAAACTAGGCAGGCGCTTCAGTGGCGGAAATACGTTCACGAACCCCCTATCTTTGAAGTTATGTTCTAACACATACCATAATTGTATGCCCTTAATCTCATTTTGTCGTTTCCATTTTGTTCTTAACAATAAGGAAGAAGATAGGAAGGTGATGAGATGGTACGGAGGTAGAATTGTTGTGTCAGAGCTTGAAACTTCAGTTATTTTGCTTCAATGTCTTAATTGACATTTTAAGTGTAACCATTGTTGTATCTGATTCAACTTTTCTTTCACTTCCCAACAGACAGCAGAAATAAGTCGTGTATTAAAACCGGGAGGGATCTTTGTTGCTACAACGTACATAATCGATGGCCCCTTTTCATATATTCCCTACCGCAGACCTCTACGTCAGGTAGGTTTCTTAACATTTGAAACTGTTTTTTCCATGGCGAAGGTGAGCCATTAAGTACAAAAATGATTGAAATGGGAGATTCAAAAATTAAACATCCTTTTTCCATAGCTATCCTCCCAACTACACTACAAGTCTGTGCACCCCGTCCTATATTAGCATGGTAGAATAGGTGTTCTGGAAAAGGTAGCAACACTTTTGACATCAACTAAATAGTGTTTACTAGATCCCATATTTTAGTTCTTACGCTCAGTGCAACTTATTCTGGGATTTTCTTATATCTGCAGAACATTGCGCTACTCTCAGGTAGTCATATATTTTTATCTGAGAAAGAACTTGAAGATCTTTGCATTTCTTGTGGGCTTGTCAATTTTACATGCACCAGGAATGGAAGTTTCGTAATGATCTCGGCTGCAAAACCAAAATGATTAGTGGCTGTTCCCTTTGTGTTTCTTGGTGTAATTTACTTTGTTAGAACCCTGTACGGAATTGCTTATATTGATGATGCATTCAGTTAATATTCTGTAATAAAATATACAAAACACAGAAAGGATGTACCGTTATGTAATATTTTTAAATTGGCGTTTTACAAAATGAAGAACGAGAAATTTACATATACTTTCACATGGTCAGATTTCTACCGAGTATAGTAATGAGGTATATTAAAAACAAGCAGCTCCAAGCACAAAGAGTAAGCTAGATGTTCAGTTTGAGCAAGGCATCTATTCAAAGATGGAAAAACACACCTGTTCACCGAAAAGAACTATTCAGTTTTCCCCGAATTGGAAAACTTTAGCCGCTGCCTTACTAATGTCTTCTCCTCCTCCTCATCATCAAAATCAAGTCCATCATTATCATAGTGCATGTCAACGACAACTCGGTCATCAAGAATTTTCCTTTCAGAGGATCGAGCTTGAAAGTAGTCTCTTCTGGGACGTGGAGAGCTGAACTCTTCAAGTTGCGTTCCTGGTTCTATCAGAGCTTTGTCATCCAAATTTTTTTGTTTCAGAGGATCGAACTTGAATCAGTCTCTTCTGGGACGTGTAGAGTTGAACTCTACGAGTGGCGTTTCTGGTTCTATCAGAGCTTTCATTTGGGCCCTCTCCCTGTCTCTTGGATAGGTGAGATGGAGGAAAGAGTAGATAATGCAACACAGAGCCATTGGAATTGAGACTGCAATGAAAAGAGCCTGAGCCAAAGATGTTGCATTCCTTCTGTCTGTGGCAATATCTTCAGAACCTTCTGGGACCGGCTTATAGCCATAAACATACTGAGCCAGTAGTCCAACAACTGGGGGAGCAAATGATGACAACATAGACTCAAATGATTGGTCCAATGCATAGATAGCCGTTCGTGATTTCTCTGGGACTATCGCTGCAAAAACTGGACTATCTACAGCATATTATTAAAGCAATTCAGTCAAAACCTTCTGAAGGTTTAAACACAGCATTATTATTAGAATATATTCAATTAAACGGACGACCTCTTTAAGATATAGTTCTCCCTTCAAAACAACAATTCTTATACTAGTTCGTGGCTATCCTTCTAAAATTGCTATGCCCAATCTGTAAATTATGATTACTTGGAAAGGTGGCAAGGCATGATTAAAAAAGGAGGAAGGGAAGATATGAAGTGTCAGTTAGAAGGCCTTGTTTGTTTGTTGCTGCAGCATTCCAAGATATGAAAAAACCTGCAGTTGACATGATGAAACCATGCAAGAACATTGTAGATGGATTGGTTGGCAAGGACAGGAAAAGAATCGCTGCGATAGGAATAGCAGATGCTGAGCTTATCTGGGATAAAATTATCCGACCAGAATTTGGGAGGCGTTTGGAGAGGATATCACCCATTCTACCCCAAACCGACACCCAAGAGAATTACCAACTACAAAAATCCCCATGAGAATGGCAGTTTCCGTGTGGGAGAAGCCAGATAACTCCAACCACATTGGTGAAAACGATAAAGCTGACCATGGAAACGAAACGGTGACACCTTGAGCTACAATAATTTGAAAGGATCAAATATTTATCACTGATTTTGCTTCATGGACAAGAACCTTAACTTCTTCTAAGAAGGATCTGCAAGGAACTTCATTGCTAGTTCTTATACCACCCTCTGGAAAGTGTCATTAGCAAAGCTGCGAACTAAAATTCCGACAACCACACTTATTATACCAACAAGATGAAAAGAAATTCTCCAGCCAGAGATTCCCATAAAAGTAATTGGGGCTATCAATAGTGAAAATAATCTGCCAACAACCGAACCAAGGTTACTGGTAAGCTGTAGCCATCCAAAAGCCATACCACGGCTGCCGCCATCAGTTGAATCAGCCACAAGGGACTGGATGGCAGGTGTAACAATCGCTAGGCCAATCCCATTCAAAGCTCTTGATACAGCCACCTGGGAAACAAAATTAAGAAATAAAAACATAAGATGCCACGATGATGTAGAATATAGTTGGTATTCCAGTAGAGAACTTATAAGCAGCAGTATAGAAGGAGATAAGCCATAGAGGAGAAGATAACCACAGCAAGAAGGGGGGGAGAACTAGAGAAGAGGGAGAAATCCGGAGAAGAAGAGATCGAAAGGGAAGGAGAAAGCTTAAGCAACAAGCCAAGCACAATTCATTTAATTCATCATCGTCTGTCTTGAAATTATATTACCAAGCCATATTAATAGAGAAACCAACAAACATAGAAAATAAATGGGCTTGGGCCACCCATTATACAAGCCCAATTAAAACATAAAGCATAAATAAATATAGCCCAAAAATAGGAGCCTAAAGTAGATGATGTCCTCAACTCTCCCAAGGTGGGAGAAAAACTTGACTCTATCTAGTAGGCAAATTATGAATTGTTGCAATCAAGCTCCCAACCATCAGCAAAAGTAATTGAACTCATGCCACGGGGAACGATATTTTTGAAGAACCGAATATCGAGATTCCCTGATTGATGGTAATGAACTGTAGCTTATTCCCAGAAATATGATCCGACCAAGGTGGCGATCTCTCCTAATAAAATGTTGATACTGGACTTCAAATAACAAACACATGCAATTTATCTCCAAAAATTTCATGTGGTCCTTCTAATCAAGTAGTGATACTTGACTTCAAATAACAAGCATTCATGCAATTTATCTCCAAAATTTTCATGTGGTTGTGCATAATGAGGAGCACAAAAAGCTAGTATTGTAGACTGGCGTGTAGAGACAAAAGATTACAATATCGAAGGCTCGAATAGGCTTTAAGTAGGAAACAATTCTGCTACATTGAAAATAGAACTTCCATTTAAGTGAAATGGCTAGTCAAATAGAAAACCTTTATACAAGTGATCCAAAAAAATTTTCTTCACATTTTTAGGAAATCGGGTCAAAGAGACAAGTAATAAAGTATAGTAATTATCAATAGAATACTCTAATTTATATTGCACATCGAAGGCAAATTCAAAAATTTCACGATTGGAAATCATTTGACCTTTTAACTTGGCATGAAATTTAGAAACATTGTCAACATAATGATGAGCTAGCACAGCGTGTCGACAATTAGTGGGCAACATCCTAATGTCAATAGAAAAAGTGTGCAATCGACTAATGACCTTAGAGAACAATGTAGCAACCCGTGGAACCTCATGTAATTGAGGAAGAACTAAAACAAAGTCAACAAGAAAGTTATGTAACATAGTTAGGCACAAGATCTAGGACATCTAAAATGTTTGACTTTGATGGCATTGTTTTAGGTGCTTTCTCAATTATGTCAATGTTAAGTGCATGAGTTGAAAATGTGGTCACGATAGGGGACACAATACACTGTTTACAACTCTCAACTTCTGTGAAGATGGAGGAAAGAATTGCACTATAATCATCTAAACAAATCCTTAAAAATTTTGTAGATTGTGAGAAGTAAGATTTGATCGTGTTAGCGCACTTCTCAAAAAGTCTTTTCACTACACTAAATGCACTAGGAGAAGCTTTCTTATGATTATTTTGAACACAATCTAAAAGAAGGGTAATGAGGTTTAGCGATTATTGTCAATTTCTTCCAATGTAAGCCACATAATAGTCTCTATGGACGTGAAGACATTCCCTAAATGAGTTCCTTTTAAAGTTAAAAGTTGGAACATGTCAATTATCATCTGCTCACAATCTAGGTCCAACATGATACGGTAATACTTCGCATCGGCCATAGTATCTAGTATCCTGACTACATACAAATTGATGGATGCGCCCATGAGGGATGCAAATGATGATATAATCACGAAAAATATATCTTGCATAAATTCATCACAAAAGGAGAGATTGGGTGCCGTAATGCGGAATATTTCACTAACACAAGAACAACTATTACTTATACAGTGGAATCGGGATATTTTAATAGCTTATTTGAGACCAATGCTGAGCTAAGTATATTAATAGATGTAAGCATGGAAACAACTAGTAATTGATCCACTTGTGATTTTAAATACTCAGTGTGTTCAATTTATGATAGGAGCTCATTAAAAGGCAACGATGTTTGAAGAAGTTTTCTTCCATTTGTTAATAAGTGGATTCCTAATGTTTGATATTCATGCCATAACATTTTTTTTAAATTGACAAGCTAAAGCACTAAAACAAAAGCACATGTTCAATATAATAAAATTATTACCTCACGAGACTAAAAAAAGTCCAACAATGGCCCAATCATGATCTTCCATTTGGCATAGCTACGATGGTATAGCAACAACTAAGTTGTCTAAGCGGCTGTCAATTAACAAGAATAAAAAATCACCTGCAAATGATGTTAGGAAATTCTTCTTTTTTTGCTCCGTTTCGCTTTCTCCCGCTTGTTTTTCTTTTCTTCTCTCTCTCTCTCTCATTTTTTTTTTTTTTAAACAAATCATATTAAACTAATAGATAAACAAACAGATGGGCACAACTGAGCCCAAATCACAAACTACGGCATATATTAAAAATGAAGGTCCAACACCATGAGGTAGACCGTGTCTATAGTTACTTGGTTGTCAGCTTTATGTGAAAATCAGCATCTATCGGTTGTTAGATGCTCAATTGGCGATGATTAGGTTGAGGCGGAGACTTTCAGAGGTTGTATTGATTAGTTGGTGTATGCAAAGGATGGGTTTTGAGAATAAACAAGTCGATTATGTGGTGGATGGGATTGCACAATGACTTGATGTCGTCTCTTGGGTTGGTAAAAAATACGGTAGTTGCAGGGAGTGAAGGTGATAGTGGTGGCAGTTTGACTTGATTTTTTTCGATGTGTTGTGGTTTATTGTGTCTCGGTGGCTAGGTTTTTAATGTGTTATCGGTAGTGAGATTTTTTTTTTATTTTTTCCCCCTTTTTTGGGATTTGTTGGTTGTGCGCAGTTGGAGGAGTGGTTGGGTGGTTGTGGTTTACTAGAAATATTTGGCGGTGTTATAGATGGTAGCAGGTTAATAGTTGGAAATAGCAAAAGAAGGGGTTTGGAGGTGTATTCAATTGAGATTTTTAAGACTTTTTGATATTTAAAAAATTTAGAAGTATTCAATTGAAACTTTTTGAGATTCTAAAAGTATTGATTTATTCAACTGAGATTTTTATAGACTTTTAAAAAGTCTCTAAAAGTTACGATGTATTTAATTGAG